ACTCCAAGGGGCCGCCCGGTGTCACTGTTGCTCCATGAGGGAAATGATTTGAGCATGACCTGAATTGGCCACCCACTGTCACTGTTGGGCCAGGAGGGAAATGATTTGTGCATTACACTGACTGGCCACCCGGTGCCACTGTTGCTCCGTTAAGGAAATTATTTGTGCATTACCCTGAGTGGCCACCGAGTGTCACTGTTGCTCCATGAGGGAAATGCTTTGTGCAGTACCTGGATTAGCCACCCGGTGTCACTGTTGCTCCACGAGGGAAATGGTTGGTGCATGACCCTGAGTGGTGTGAAGGAAAAGTTAGCCTGGGTGACTCCATTTTGGTTTGGGGCCCACCATTGTCTAAAAGCAAGCACATCATGCACCAGGAGGAGTGTTTCTTAGATACTGCATTCCTGTGAAAATCCTCCGCCCCCCGCCCTTGTCTCCAGCCTGTTTTATCTCCCGGTTTCTGTTCTTTGTCTGTTCCTAACTCCCTGCCTCCTGGCCTTGCTGTGGGCCTCCCATCCTGATAAGAAAAGTTCCTGGTGCATTGCTTTAGGACCATGTAATGTAGCTGAAGTCACGGTTTAGCACGGGGAATGTACCTAGCCGGGATAGGTGGTAGATAAGGGAAGGGTTTGTCTCTTGGCTAAGGTTTCCGATGCACGAGGGCAACGTGCCTTGCTAAAAGGTCTATAATCTCTGTATAACCTGCCTGCGGGGTCCCCTCCTGATGAGCAGGGGGGCACCACGCTCGAGCGTAATAAACTGAGTATTTTTGGGAACCTGCCGTTGTGGACTTCGTTCGTGTGCCTCAGCCTAGACTCGAACTGTGCGGGACCAATCGGGTAGAATTCGCAGCAGTTCCTGTGCGTGACCTGTCGGGTATAATTCGTAACAGTGGCCACCCACTGTCACTGTTGCTCTGTGCGGGAAATGGTTTGTGCATTATCTGGATTGGCCACCTGGTGTCACTGTTTCTCCACGATGGAAATGGTTTGTGCAGTACCCTGAGGGGCCACCCGGGGTCACTGTTGCTCCGTGAGGGAAATGGTTTGTGCATGACCTGAATTGGCCACACACATCACTGTTGCTCCGGGGGGGGGGGGGGGATTGTTTGTGTGTTACTCCTGAGTGGCCACGTTGTGTCACTCTTCCTCCATGAGGGGAATGCTTTGTGCATTACCCTGTGTGGCCACCCAAGACAACACACACATCACACACAAAACATCACACACACAAAACACGACAGACGACACTCACACACACACACACAACACGACACCGACACACACAGAGAGAACACGTCACACATACAGAAACACGTCTCTCACACACACACAACACAGGACACCGACACACACAAACAACATGACACACAAATAAAATGACACACAAAACAGCACACAACACGACACACAAAAATCACACACAATACACGACACCGACACCACACACACACACACACACGAGACGAGGCACAAAACGGCAGACAACGTGACACAGAAATCACACACGACACCGACACCCACACACAATACGACACACAACACCTCACATGACACACAAAACGGCACACGTGACACACACACACAACACGATGCACAAAACATCGCACACAAAATATCACACACCCACACACAACATGACACACACACACAGACAACACGACACAAGACACACAAAACGGCACACGACACGAGACACAAAAATCTCACACAACACATGACACCGACACACACAACATGCACACAAAACGGCACACAACACGGCACACACCGTCACATGCACACAACACGGCATACAACATGGCACACACACACTCAACATGGACCACAACACGCACACATAAACACGTCTCACACACACAAAACGACACACAAGTCACACACACAACACGTCACACGACACATGCAACACGACACACACAACACGTCACACAGCAGAAGGTTTCATCGAGGAGGAGGATGTCCCGGGGTCCCCGGGCGATGCTCTGGGACTGCTCCCCAGGAAGCCAGGCAGGACTCTGGGGAAGTCTCCTCTCGGGGAGCAGCCTGTCTGCAGGACACACAGCTCCCCCGGCTCCACCTTCCTGGCTCTGACCTCGGAGCCTTCAGCCTCCTCTGCCCCTCCCTGCGCTTCCCACAGCCAGTCCGCCCAGGCGGGGTCCTGGGGGGGGCAGAGGGTCCTGCCCCCCAACTCCGCAGTCAGACGGGACTCTCAGCCAGCCAGGAAAACAGAGGTTTATTAGACGACAGGGACATGGTCTAACACAGAGCTTGTAGGTGCAGAGAACAGGACCCCTCAGCCGGGTCCATTTTGGGGGGGGCAGTGAGCCAGACAACCCCGTCTGCCCTTCACTCCATGTCTCCAGCCAGCCCCCAACTGAAACTCCCCCCAGCCCCTCCTCCTCTGGGCTTTGTCCCTGTCCCCGGCCAGGAGGGCACCCGATTCCTTTGTTCTCCAACCCTTTAGCTCTCACCTCGCAGGGGGGAAGGGCCCAGGGCATCAGGTGCCAGGAAAGAGGGTGTCGGCCATTCTCTGTGTCCAGACCCCTGCACACACCTGCCCTCCAGAGCTCTGCAACGATCATACACCCTTACCCCACCCCCTAGATCCTTAAGAACTGCATAGGGGAAACTGAGGCACCCCCACACAATTCAGAGGAAACATGAAGTCCCGCTTCATCACAGATGACTCCAGGAGGTGAGTTGCTTGCTATCCTACCATGTTTTTCTCTGTCTCTCCTCTAGTATGTTGGCCATCACACACACTCTGTCTCTGTCTCTGTCTCTGTCTCTCTCTCCTCTCCTCTCCTGGTGCCAACGATGACCAGGCCCCGGGTGCCTGGGCCCCAGTTCCCCGCCTGTGCTCCATCTCTTCCTGTATCTGCCTCGCCCCTTCTCCCAGCCCACACTGCCCACCGCTGCCTGGATGATTTCCCCCTCTCCTCCACTGCACCCCCCTCTGTGGGGTCCCTGCCACTCACCGTCTGCCTCCTCTCCTCCACCCCCTCCCCCGCTTCCCCACGGGTCACTCTGGGGGCCGGTTTTCTTCACCATCTTCGTGCATGATCTGGAGGATGGGATGGATTGCACCCTCAGCAAGTTCGCAGATGACACTAAGCTGGGCGGAGAGGGAGATACGCTGGAGGGTCGGGATAGGGTTCAGAGTGACCCAGACCAATTAGAGGATTGGGCCAAAAGAAATCTGATGAGGTTCAGCAAGGACAAGTGCTGAGCCCTGCACTGAGGAGAGAAGAATCCCATGCACTGCCCCAAGTATGTGAATCCCATGCACCGCCCCGAACCGACCCTCCCGGAGCATCCTCAATTCCATGAAACAGCTGTTCTGGGGTGGGCAGGAAGTGCTGGGAAGGAGGGTGGGGAGTTGCTCAGTGGGGGTGTGTCTCTCTGGGTGGGGTCTGTGTGTGTTTATGCACAAGCTGATTGTGATGTCACGGAGGCCAACAGCAAAGAGTGTTGGGCGTCAGCATTCTTGCCCTGCCGTCAGTCTGCCAACTGGCTTGGTTGACAACGGCTGGTGACCCAAGGAGCTGCTGAGAGACGCGGACCATCCCTCTGTCAGCAACTTCTTGAATCAGCTATTTCCACAGGTGTTTGAGGAACAAAAGGATGAGTTTTTACAGAAGGTAATTCCCAGATTCTTTCCCTGCTCATTAGATCGCACACGACAGGTCGGTGCCTCCTTCTCCTCGGGACGGGTGGGGGCGGGTGTGGCAACAGGCAGGTCTCAGCGTTCCCTTTTGATTTGAAAGTGGCCATCTCTCAGGTCTCCTCCTGCTTCAGCCTGTCAGGTTCTTTGGAGGCAGATTTAGGTGATTTTATCTTTCAGCAGACTAGTCGGGGGGAATTTCCAGGGATCGAACCAAAAGGGAAGATAACAAAACTCGTGTAGAATTTAGATTGAGATCTCCATCAATAGTCTTTCCCTTGGAGTTGCCCCTAATGCACTCCTTGCCTTCAAGTTGGGAATAGAAACCCTTTGTCTCCTGTCATGACTGCCAAAGAAATGTGTATTGAGAGAATATCGATCTCAGAATTTACAGGATTGAAATGCACATAAATGAGCTCAAATAATGCAGAAGAAATTAATCTTAAGATATTGAAAGTGATACAGCTCCACTCCCATCCCCTGGCTGTCATCTTGGTAGTTCTCTCAGAAAGAATCTCATGGCGATAGATCTCAAAACTCTCTACAAATTCTACTCTACCCCCTTGGGCTAGAGAAAAGAGATGTGTCGATCCCCCCCCCCCGCCCCACAATTCCTTTCCAGGAAAGGGGTTTCAATCAACTGTCGCCTACATTTGTCATGGGTCTCGCTGTGATTTCTTTGTCCTTGTTTTGGAGGCCTAACTTCTGACTGGATGTTGGAAATAATATGGGTCATTCTTCATTTCAAGTTGACTGATTCTTTCCCCCATGCTAATACATTCCAGATTTTCAAATAGTTGAGAAGAAGTCAACATATTTGCAGCTGCTAATTCATCCTTCCAGACCCTCAAACCCTCGAGATGACAATCTTTTCTTCCTTTTCCTGGCTTCTCTGGGAACAGAGCTTTCTTGGTTTGCAGCTTGGCCCGATCTGTTCCCAGAGTCCCAACATTCTGTGCACAAAGGAGTGGGGTTAAGAAGGAAGCATTTTTGCAACTAGGCCCAGGCAATGACCAAAGAACATAGAAACTGACCTTTTGCTCTTTCTATCCCTAGCCTCTGTTTGCCAGGTGCCAGGAATGAGCAACAGGAATGGATCGCTTGATGATTCCCTGTTCATTCCTTCTGGGGCACTCAGCACTGGCTACTGTCAGAAGACAGCGTACTGGGCTAAATGGACCTTTGGTTTGACCCAGTCTGGGCGGTCTTGTGTTGCATATCTTCTTGGTTGCAGCAACCAGTCCTGGCTATTAGAGGAGCAGATGGCTTCAAAAGACCACTCTCGTGGATCTGGGAATCCTGGGCAAACTAATTCCCTTCCTTTCGAGAAGGACAGAAAAACCCATTTCCTCCTTCTTTCTATTCCAGGCTTCGTTCCTTTTTCCAAAGACTCGCCTCTCGGGAGCACAGAGAGATCCATGTGCACAAAGTGCTCGTCCAACCTGCAGCCATTGAGGCATGCTCTGGCCTCAGCCCCCAAGAACAGGCCTTGCCAGAGAAGCCCCAAGGAAGAAAATGCTCATGGACCATCATGAAAAGACTCTGTGTCTGTTGCCAATCCCACAACTCGATGGCAGAGAGCAGTGAGGAGAGAACAGCTTCCTCTCCAAGAAGGTGGACACACTTGTCCCTGAAGAAGAAAGCAGCGGAGACCCAGGTGGAGGGAGAGGAGGTGAAGCTGCAGGAGACGACAGACAAAGTCGAAGTGGATCTTACAGGTGAGATGGTTCAATCCACATGGTTCACGAGGAGCATGTGAGGAACACTCACACCAGTCACTCGACAAGCCTTCGACATCAGGGCCATCTCATGGGACAGTGATGGGTACCTCCGGCTCTGGAATCCATTTAGAGGGTGGCAGAGGTCCATGGCTGAGGTGGGGAGAGCTGACAATGTCAGGTCACCCCCCTCTGGGGATCTGGCACGGTGGGGTGGGGACTACTAACATTGTTCCAGGCTGGAAGGAGAAGAGAGAGGCTGGACGTTGGAGGAAATCCTTTCTTTTCTCCTGGATTGGGTCCCTTTCCTCAGGAAAATGCTCCAGAGGTCTCAGCAGGTCACAGCTGGGAACCGTACCAGAGCTGAGTCATTCCTTCTTGGGGGGTTCAATGCAAAAGGAGGCCAGGTGCCCATCACTGACAGGAAAGGGGTACAAGGGGAGGGGAAGAGTAGAGGACACCATTGAAAAGAAACTGGCCCCGAGGGAAGAGGAAGCCTCGTGTGGTCAAAGCCTCCAGCTAGGAGTCAGGAGAGCAGAGTTCTCTGCTGAGCTCTGCCAACAACCTTCAGTCTGACCCTGGGCAATTCGCTTCAGGGCTCTGGGCCCAACTTCCATCCTCTGTAAACGGGGGAAGACATGGAAAAGCAAAATGTTAAGAATGTTTCTTTCTGCTGCAGGGACGAAGAAGGAGCCGTCTGACACGAAGGGGAAGTGGGAAAAAGGAAGCCCAGAAGAGCAGGAAGAAGAGCGCACTCCCAGCCCCTCATTAACAAGCAGCTCCCATATGACGATGGTAATGGTGCTGTGTGGCCGTGCTCATGGAAAGCATCCCTTGCTGTGTGTAGGAATATCTCCCAGGGGCTGAAAAGAAACACTCGTCAAGGGTGATCAACTCCAGCCAGTCTTTATCTGGGTCGCTTGAATGAGGCCCGCTTTGACAAAGGGGTTTAGACACCTAAAGAAGTCCAGAGGTGCTTTGTGGGACTGGCAGAAGTGCCTGACTCAGGTGCCCAATTCTGATGCACTTTCCATGGCACACAGGCACGGCTGAAAATCAGACCAGGCCCATCCCTGCCCTGGTCGGGGGAACCCACATATCTCCTGGCTGTGGGGTTCTGGCCCATCTCGTGGCACCAGGACCACTTTGAGACACAGAGAAAAGGAGTCTGCTCTAGAGCCTTAGCTAACAGCCTCTTGGCTTTTCGCTCCTGTGGTCGAGGCTCCTGCACTAAGCTCCAGAGGTCCCAGGTTCCCTCCCGCCTGCCAACATCTGGGCTCTGTCCGAGTTACAAAAGCCTCTAGACACCTTTGTAACTCTTCCTCTTCGGGACAGAGCACCCTGCAGCGCATACAAAAGGCTGCAATTCTGGGAGCTTCTGACCCGCCGGGGGTCTGGAGTATGGAGGCGAGTGTGCCACTCCGCCGTGCTCTACTGCATCCTAGGATATCAGGGTTGGAAGGGACCTCAAGAGGTCATCCAGTCCACTCCCTTGCTCAAAGCAGGACCAAACCCCAATTTTTACCCTAGATCTCGAAATGGTCCCCTCAAGGATTGAACTCACAACCCCGGGTTTAGCAAATGCTCAAACCACTGAGCTACCCCTCAGCTGTTGGCAACCAGGACAGACGGTGCTAATCCAGCGCCATGCAGGCCAGCTGCAGTAATCCCCAGGGGGTGCCCTGAGACCCCAGGGCAAAGGCCTCCAGCACCCCAGGCCCTGGGTTGAGGTGACCCTGGAACCAGGCCCCCTGGAGTAACATTGTGCCCAGTGAGTTCTCACCCCCAGGGCTCTGGCCCCAGAGGCCCACGCTTTGGGCTTCTCTTCAGCCAGGCAAACTTGCTTCTTCAGTCTCAGTTACTTTCTGTCCTGACGGCGATTCCTGCCTGTTTTCTGGCAGCCCCACAGGCTGCTAGGTGGGGAAGGAAGAGGGTGTTTCCGTTTGGGCCCTATTCTCAGTCCCTTCCTCGCAGACACTGTGGGCTGCCAGAGTTGCTGAGCCAATCTCCTCAGGCGCTCGGGGTGGGATGGGACATGGGGCAGGTTCTCCAGTGACCCCTCGGCGACACTCAAGGAGCAACTCGAATGGGCTTTGCAGGACATTGAGGCTTTCTCAGCAAAAGCGGGGTTTCCTGCGAGGAGGGGCTAGCGAGGGAGGAAACGGGGTGGCCCTTGGGGTCCCAGCACTGCCCGAGAGGCTCCCGTCTCTTCTCAGGGGAGGGGGCCAGAGAGGGGACAAAAGGCTAAGGAAACCTTAGCACCTGGGGAGGCTTTTGAAGAAAAGGGCTCAGCCGGAGTCTCCACGCTCCCTCGGCACTGCCAGCCTCCCCCGGGGACAGACTGTTCCAGGGCAGCTGCCCGAGGGAAATACTCAATCCCAACAGGCTTTGTCCCTGTTCTTTGCAGACCCCCAGGGAGCACCCTTCCTCAGCCCCGCTCCATGCCCTGCTGATGGCAGCCGTGAAGGGTCTGACAACACCCACCCTGCAGAGATTTAGAGCCGCAGAGGAAGAGCTGAGGGCCATCGTATCTCTCCACGGAGACAAGATGGAGAGAGTAAGAGACTCCCGCAATGGGGCAGGGGGATGCTGCGCAGAGAGGGGGATGGGAGAAGTTCCTCTCCTCGGAAACCATTCCTGGGACACTGGCATGGGATTGGAAGGTTGGCTCAGCCCCTTGCCATTCATCGCTTGGCCACGGGGATAGGCGACATTCAAGCCCTTCTCCAAAGACCGCCTGCACGTGGCGCGGAAGTGCAGACTTATTCCCTTCCTGGGCTTTGGCTTTCCTGGAAACTCTGAGACTAATCAATGAACAGAATCCTCAGCCTGAACTTCCTCCCCAACCTGCCTGTTCCTAGGGTTTCCTGCAGGTCATCCCTGTCTCTGCCCGAGTTCCTTCTTTCCAACAGGTCCCAGCGGGAAGTTAACAAATGGCCCCTCAATCAGCAGATTGATTTGTGCAGGGCTCTAACTCCTGCTAGCAGAACAGGTCAACAGAATCCAGCCACCCACCTTGGAGCTTCTGCTCCTTGTTCGAGAGAGGAAAGAGCAATGACCAATTCCTCACGGAAGAGTCCTAGGGGGTGGCTTGTCCCTTTAGGGTCTGTCTCCCTGTGTTGCAAACTCTGCAGCAGGAGCCTGAAAGCCTGGCCCTATGGACTTGGGCTCCCAGGGCTGGCACTGAGGGGCCAAAACAGCAATGCAGACTCTTCTGGGCTGGGGCTGGAACTTGATCTCTGAAGCCTGGGGAGGAGGGTGGCTTCAGAGCCTGGGCTCCAGCCCAAGTCACCTTGTCTGCACTGCTCTTCTAAGTGCCATAGCATGAATCCGAGGTTAGAGACTGGGGACTTAGGAGACTGGGGCCGGGAGCTGGCTAGCCCCACCCAACTAGCCCTGCCTCCCATCTCTGCCATGGGCTCTGGGATACATCGGTAGAACCAGCTGGGTCTGGAGCAGTGCTTCTCAACCTGTGGCCCGGTCAGCACAGAGCTGCGCCCCTTTGGGACATCCTCAGGGACAAACAGGTCGGATTGGATGTGTCCCACAATGGAACCTAGGTTGAGAACCACTGGTCTGGAGGAACGGATTGTGCAAGAAAGAGCTAAAAGGAAGTTGCAGAGATGGAGGAAAGGCTCCTGGAGGGAAGCCCTTGAGAGCGGGGCTGAGAGCCGTTTGCTACGGCAGGGAAGGCCCTGGGACATCAGGAGAGTTAGGACTGTGCGCACTCTAAGGTTTTGTGCGTGTTTTTGAGCTTGAAGGTGCTAACCCAGACCTCAGGAAGACTGGGGTTCCTGGACTTGTCAAAGGCTCTTAGGGAGCAGCCAAGATGGGCAACCGAGGTCAGAGGAGGCTTGCAGGGCTGCCAGGAGGGCTTCCCTGGGAGGAGGCCACTCATTGATAAATCCATCCCTCAACTTTCTGGCATTCTTCCAGGTTGGAGACGTCGTGGGAGGGATCTTAATCTGGCTCGACAACAGCTGTGATCCCAGAGCCAGAAGAGCAGTGCTCAGGGCCATGGCCTTGCTGGCTCGCTCCCACCCCCAGGACGTGGTTCTAACCTGTGTGGCTCACACGCTCTCATCGCACAGGTAGGGAGCTGCTTTGTTATCTCCTCAGTCCAGTAGTTCTCTTCCTGCTCCTACTGACAGGCCACAGGCCGGGAGGGGTCCGTGGGGCTCACACAGTTGGAGGGAGTTTCCTGCTGTGCAGAGAGCTGTCCACGCTTACGAAGAGGAGATGGCCAGGCCCAGCCACTGAGGAGCCAACCCCTCCTCCTACACTCCCCGGGATGGAGACATGCCACTTTTCTGGAGAATTCCAACATTGTCCTGATTTCTATGGGTCACCCCACTTCCTCTCAGATCCAGTACAGGGCCAATCAATGATTTGGGGGCTCACTCAACATCCCTGGCTCATGAGGTCTGGCTGCTCCTTACTGCAGGAGAGAAGGCAGAGATGGAAAAGGCCCATGAGGCCCATCTGTCTATCCCCTGGAGACCAGTGCAGGATTCTTACCTGTCGTCAGACCCCCCAGTTATTCCATGGCTGAGGAATTGGTGACAAAATGCACTCATCCTTATGGAGCGGTGGGGCAGAGGTCAATCTCTTAAGACAGACATTTCCAGCCCTTATTGATCCAAAAGAAAATAAAATCAAATCAACAAAAAAATCATCCCCACATGACCAGATCCTAAATGCAGTGCAGCAAGCAGACAGCCAGCATTAATAGCTCTGAGAAGGGGGAGTGCCTCTTTCCACCTCAATAGATTGTTAACTTTCAGTCCTGCTGGTTATTGCTGATCACTTGGAAGGGTCAGCCAGCTGAGGGGTTTGTAACACAACCCCCATGTGCCTCGGGGCCATGAAACCCAACTGAACCCTAGCCAGAGGTCAAAAGTCCAGCTTTCCTTGGCATCTTCTGCAATGCAGTTCTGCACAGACCTGAGAGAAATTTGTGTCACACTGCAGAGCAAATTGAAGAGCGGCAGGAAAGAAATGGAACTTCTTACCCAATTCAGTTATCAGAGGAATACAGTGTTGGTTTTCAGATTTCTTTGAGTGTTTGATTTGTAAACCTTTCTGAATTTCAGAATCAGGTCTGAATTTCTTGGAACAGCCACAGTGCTTTCCAGGGGCTGTGCTCAGAAGTTACAGAAACTCGGCAGCATTGGCACAGAAGTTCAGTCAAGCTTCCGGAAGACCTTGCTTCCAGGCCATTTGCCCTTGAGTTGTCCAACCTAGGTCTCAATGTCCTAGGGCTTCACCACCACGTCCGACCTTCCTCACCAAACTTGGAAGTCAAATGACTGGAAGTCTTTTGGATCCATCTGCAGTCTTCCTCTGCAGATGCCTGTGGGGACAAGCAGGACTTAGATCCGCAAGAATGGAGGAGGGGGATTTCAGTCCTACTTTCCTTCCATCTCTGTCACATGGGGCTTTACAATCTCCTCTTCCAAGCTCTTGAATCTTCTCAGATCAGGGCATGTGCTGACTCACTCTCTGACCCTGTCCACCACACTGCAGTAGAATTGAGCTGCTAAGAGACACTTGGCCAAACGCTGGGTCTCCGTTATAGCCCCAAACAGCCAGAGGAACTCCAATGATGTCAGGCAAGTTTCTCGGGACTGACCCAAGTGTAACAGAGCAGAATTTTGCAGTCTGCGGGTCACAGTTTGGTGGTCATTCTGTGGTCAGTACATGGTCACTGTCTTGGAAAGAGTGGGTTAGCTTTAGAAACAAGAACCCATTCGGGGAAAGGAATAAATACAACTTTCTCTGAAGGGACTTGCCCTGCCTTAGCCTCCCTGCACCAGTGGCTGTCTCCTCTGGTATTCCAAGCCTCTCCCTGGGGAGGGCAAGAGATGGCCAAGCAGGAAAGCTCTGACGTGTGTTTCTGAATTTGCAGATGTGCCATTGAGTTGTGGAAGGCCTTGGGTGAAGAACCACAGCTCACCAGGGAGGTGCTGCAGCAGCTGCTGGACAAGCTCCAGCAGAGACGCCAGGAGGAGAAGAGCAGCCATGTGTCTCTGGCTGTAAGTGAGATTTGAGATGTCACCTTGCGAACCCGCCACCACAGGGAAGATGGTGCATCTGTGTGTGTGTGCGAGTTTCACCTCTTCTTACCTTCAGGCCATGGCTCCACCACACATTGAAGCCGACCTAACTTAAATGGGCAGACAGCCGCCACAGCGATTCCATCCCTGGTGTGTGTCCGCACTTTGCTGCTCGTGTCGGCAGTGCCCGTCCTCCACCAGAAGGGCTTGTCTTGATTGTAGGGTCAGGGTGGGGCATTGTGGGAAGGCTCCTGAAAGCCAGTTGAGGAAAGCGACGCGGTGTCTGGTCTGACGCTGCATCGACCTGACTGCATCGACCTGGACTCTCTGCCACGTGTGGAGGTGGAGTGACGAATTTGGCACCGAGGGGCAGTTCTGACGATGGGAAGGAAATTCCATCCTTAGGGGGATGCAGAGTGAGCGGCCTTGCGTTGACCTCACTCTGGAGTGTAGACCAGGCCTTAGTGTGTCCTCGCCACTTCCAATCAAACCAAAGAGGGGTAGTAAAGTTTCCCCCAGGTCAAAGTTACACATCTGAAGTGGTTTATCTGCTGGTACCCTGGCTCAGTTGTCTTCTGCTCCAGATGGCCCTTTAGTGAACAGGTGCAGTTCAGGTGTCTCTTGGAAGTCTCCAGGTTTCTGGCTCTGTAAACTGTGGCTAGAAATCTTCCCAACATGGCATCCTGAGAAGTCCAGTACTTTTGACTGGGCCAGAAACACTGGGCCTAGGAGAACGGATCTCCTCAGGATGGTTTCAGCCCTTCCAGTCATGGCTGGAAAGCCAAAGCACAGGCTCTGCACCAGAAAGAGAAATAATGGGGAATAACAGGTTTCAGAGGAACAGCCGTGTTAGTCTGTATTCGCAAAAAGAAAAGGAGTACTTGTGGCACCTTAGAGACTAACCAATTTATTTGAGCATGAGCTTTCGTGAGCTACAGCTCACTTCATCAGATGTATACCGTGGAAACTGCAGCAGACTTTATATACACACAGAGAATATGAAACAATACCTCCTCCCACCCCACTGTCCTGCTGGTAATAGCTTATCTAAAGTGAGACTGGGAGTGGCTAAGTCATTATGCAAGGTAGCCTGTTTCCTCTTGTTTTTTCCTCCCCCCCCCCCCAGATGTTCTGGTTTAACTTGGATTTAAACTTGGAGAGTGGTCAGTTTAGATGAGCTATTACCAGCAGGAGAGTGAGTTTGTGTGTGTATGGGGGTGGGGGGGATGTGAGAAAACCTGGATCTATGCAGGAAATAGCCCGACTTGATTATGTAAAGAGTTGTCACTTTGGATGGGCTAGCACCAGCAGGAGAGTGAATTTGTGTGGGGGGGTGGAGGGTGAGAAAACCTGGATTTGTGCTGGAAATGGCCCACCTGTTGATCACTTTAGATAAGCTATTACCAGCAGGACAGTGGGGTGGGAGGAGGTATTGTTTCATATTCTCTGTGTGTATATAAAGTCTGCTGCAGTTTCCACGGTATACATCTGATGAAGTGAGCTGTAGCTCACGAAAGCTCATGCTCAAATAAATTGGTTAGTCTCTAAGGTGCCACAAGTACTCCTTTTCTTAATGGGGAATAACGTCATCCAGACTCTTCTCATCTTTCCATCCTGCTTCCGTTCCAGGAATGGGGGAAGGTTCAGGAGCCTCCAAATGTCCCCACCCCTCTCAGAAGCCAATACTCTTTTGTAATACGCTGGAGAGGAAAGGAGACATGACAAAGGGACAATAGCGAATGGCAATGGGGACAGGTGGCAGATTGGGAGAGCTGAGTGAAATTCTTTCCCCCCTCCAGGCAATGAAGACCATTTATGAGCTCCTTTTCCTACGGGGATACCGAGAAGCCATCCTGCAAATGTATCCCCAGCTGCTCATTCTCTGCGTCAGGCAAGTGCAGTACGTGATGGATCAGCACTTGCCAGGGACCTACATGGCCAGGCAGACATCCAGCCCCGAGGAGGGATGCAGCTGCCTCAGTCTCCTAAGGTAATGCCTGAAAGGAAAAGGAAGAACAGATTTGTTGGGCTAAACACATGGGGGCTGTTCACGGCCATCAGTTGTTCGGGTGCTGTCGTTAGCCCAGGCTCAGTTGGGAGCAGGTCTCTCTTGAGGGAAAAGGGTTGAGAGCCGTGCGTTCTTGTGAGTCACACTCGCTCATCTGACGCCGTCCACAGCCCAGCTGCTTTCCCTACACACTCAGGCAGCAGCCATGTTTGTGCATCCATCCACGTCTGCCACCCGCCAAAGGGTCAGTGCGTTCATCAGTGCCTGCTGAGCAAATCCGTGGGCCTCTCTCCCCGAACGCGGACAGAGCCACACCGGCAGCACCTGGGGACAGGCCCCGCAGGACGTCAGCCTCACAGGCAGACAGGAGGAAGAGGGACCAGTTCATCTGGTTCTGTGGGCACAGTTAGGGGCTTCCATCTGCACGGGAAAGAGAGAGCGCCAGAAGACACCTCAGGTGGCGTAAACTGATGGAGCTTTGCTCGATTCCACCAACAAAGGATCTGGACCCACATGCCCGCTTGAGTCCTGTTACCTGTCACAGTAAAGAATCAAGTATTCAACCATTGGGAGTGATGACACCAACCATTTGAAGAAGCTACAGTGTCCCTAACTGGTTCCAAAGTCGGTGAAACTGCAGTGTAGACAGGGTATCACACTGGATCGATCCTTGGGGAGGCTAGCTACTGCTGAGCATGCTGGGTGTCTCAGGACTTGTGCAGATTTGCCATGCTTGGGGCTGATCTCATTGCTTGACACTCTGTTTGTTTGTTTGTTTTTGTCTTTAGCACCTCAGTGGAGGCTGTGAAGACGCTTTTCTCCATGCCCGGCTACTGGAAGGAATTTGCCAGCATCCAGTTTCATCGGGGTTGGGACATGATAGCCTCCCGATATCACTACTCGCAGGGGGTTGGCCTGATTGCAAGGTAGGAGCTCAACGTTTCCTCTTCTTTGGGTCTCTCTTGGGAATGGGATTTCCGTGTGAAATAGTCCTCAGTTCCAGGCTGCCAGCTCAGCCCAGCAACTGGAGCTGAACGCTCTCTCCCCCTTGAGAATCAAAAGGGACTTTCTGTTCCATGTTCCAGAGCCATGATCGAGTTTGAGAACCCTCAGCTCCCTGCAGTTTTCAGAGAGGCAATCACCATCGTCCAGAGTGGGAAGGAGGAGGAGCAGAGAACTATCGCCCTGGCTTTCTGCACTGAGGTGAGATTCATGAGTTGACAGGCAGAAGTGGGCTTTCTGGAGAGCAGCTCAGGACAGGAAGCTCTAGGCTACATTGTCAGCAGCTTAGCAGCCCTACCGCCAGCTAGCTCCTCTCCGCACATGGATGGATGCGGGGCATGGCAAAGAGAGGGAGGGAGAGACAGGGTGAGATTGCTCCTGGCTGGATGTGCCCAGATGGGGTTATGGGACAAGAAGCCATGTTTCTCCAGTGCCCCAAGGCCATGCTTCTCTCCTCACCTTTTCCTGGGGTTCTGCTTTTCTTCTGCCCCACGGCTCTCTCCATGGCACTCAATGAGGTCTGGAGATTCCCCTTTCCCTGGGGGCTTATTTGTGACTTGTGCATTAGTCTAAATTTGGGGAAGGAACCAACTGAAACAGCAGCAATTGGCTCCCTACTCACCAGAGACTTTGCATAGGAGGAAGTGGCCCTTTGGGAAAGACGACTGTCCAGGGAACAGACCCCACAATAAGACCTCTGCTCCTCAACCTGATCTTCATTTGGCTCTTGCCAGTTTCTCCAGAGTCCTTCCATTGACACCATCCTGACAAGATCAGCCCTCCAGGCACAGCTCATGGACTGGACCAAAGATGCAAATTCCATCATACGGAGGCTCAGTCTGCGAGGCCTTGGCAGTATTGTGTTCCAGCCAGAAAAGGTGAGAGCCGGGGATTGCCCAGGGGACCCAGGAAGCCAATGTCCATCAAATAGCTCAGAAATGAGAGGGAGAGCCACACACAAGCCTTCTTGTTTAAAACACAGCCCTCAAATGGTGGAGGTGCTTTCAGAACAAATCAAGGCATGCCATGCTCCCTGCTCCCGTGAGCTGAGCCCTGATTGCAGATGGGATGCAATGGGGGAGGCGGGGTGAGCAAAGACAAAGGTGACAGTGAGCAACTGGCACAGAGTGACAGGAGAATGACTTTCTGCCCCGTTGGGGGGCTGTGCCCTCCGTGGTTTATCATCGGTGGCAGTGGTCCATCATGTGCTCCAGGTTGTCACCTGGGATAGTAATGAGCTGCCTTCTTCATTCCGGCAGGTGCAATTCTTACGGGCCCAGCTGCCAGCAATCCTGGCCATGTTTTGTGACAGGGATGGAAGGCGTGTCATGGAGGCCATGCATAAAGCTGCAGACATCATCCACCTCCTCAACAGGGAGGGGCTTGGCTCCATCTCCCAGGACATTGCTGTCAGCCTTCGCCCCTTCATTGATGACGTAAGGCTTGGAACCCGCAGAAGAAGCCCATTCCCCCGCTCCAGCTGTCTGTGATGCCCTTGTCTCTCTCTCCCCATCCCCTTCCTCCCGCCCCTCAGGCCTGCCATGGAGCCGCCAAGGAGTGCCCCCGCCATGGGTGGGGAATCTCCTGCTGAGCCACCTCCCTGTCAGAGCTCTTCTCTCCAAAGCTCAGCCTCAGTGCCATGCTCCCAGCCCCTGCTGCAGCCTGGCCTGGGGGAGAGGGGGCCTGGCACTGGGCAGATGACCAGCTGCCTGGAGAACACAGGCCCCCAAAGAGGTGGAGATTCTCAGCAGGAAAGAGGTGGGTCGGGAATGGCCCGGCTCTCAGGGGCACCCAAGAGCCAAAGAAATGCTGTCTTTTGGAGCAGCCAGTCCCTGCCAGGCTCCAGCAGCTGCTTCTCCCCTTCCCCACACCAGTCTCCAGCAGCCTGCCTGCCCTCTCCCCTCATCTTCTCGGGTTCTAGGATTCTGTGCTCTCCAGACAGAAACTGCCTCTGGGACACCCTGGGCTGCACTGTCCCGCACAGGGTCTCAGGCCCTGCACAAGATGTCCATGGCGCTGGCCTGGTGGCCTCCCTGCTCCCGCCAGCCCAGGTCGTTCACACAGGGGGACCGGAGCAGCGTGCGCATCACCACCCAGTGGCGTTCTGCTCTGATGCTGCCTGGCTTTAACCGGGGGTCCCCACCCCCTGTGTGTCATTGCCAGGAGAAGGGCAGTGTGCGCTCAGCTGCCATTGTACTGCTTGGCAACGTGGTGAGCAGGGTGCAGGACCCCGACAAACCCTTCGTGCAGCAGGAAATCATCCACTGCTTGCTCCCCCTGCTGCTGCATCTTGAAGACCAGGAGGAGAGTGTGAAACTGGTAAGTGCCACGGTCATTATTGCCTGAAGAGCAAAGAGCCAGTATCTCCTGGGGCCCCCACTCCAGTCATCGCCAGAGCCCCTTGCCCAAGCAGAGTCTTCTCCTCCCTGCTTCACTCCATGCTGGAGCCAAGCGCCTCATCCATCCTCACAGCACACAGCACAATTGGGAAGAAAAGCCTTCTTCTGGGAAAGATGTGGGGAATAGCGTAGCGGATCCGGGAGTACTGCTGCTGGCCCCGGCACGGCCCAGGGCCTGCGTCCCCCTGAAGTGCAGGGCCCCCCAAAGCACGGGGCCCTGGGCAACCACCCCAAACCATCCAAAGGACAGGACGGCTCTGGCTCTCTCCAGCCAACTCTCCCTTTCCTCTCCTCAGCACACTCCTGTGGAGAACAAATGACAGGAATCTCCACTGGCAGGAAAAGCAGGAGAACAAGGGACGGGGAAGGTTCCATGTCCCCCAGACTATCCCTCTCTCAGGGAGAACCCTCTTGGTCTCCTCTTCTCTTGCAGTCATGTAAACTGACGCTCTTCCGCTGCGCAGTGTTCCTCAGGTGGGCTCATTTGAAGACCCTCTCCCACAGCTTGGCCTGGGATGGCTCCTCACAGCTCTTGAAGTGTGTCTGGATCTGCTTGGTAGGTGAATTCCTTGTGCCTTGAGAGTGGTGAATGGGGACTTGAGGAAGACCTTTCTAACTCCACACCCTGAGTACCCATCCGCTTCGGTCGGGCTGCAGGACTCCGTTCCAGGCTCTCTGCTGGCTCATTTCAGCAGGAGTTACAATCCGTTCACATTGTTGACATTTTTCTCCACAATTCTCCGACCTTCAAACTTTTGTCTTTTCAAATGAAAGCTGAGGTTCTGGAGAACACAATAGGAACTTCAGAGGGGTGCTGCTCTGGTGTATGGGTTCATATTGGCGGTTGCCAGGGCCTGGCTATATGCATTGGCTTTCCTGGACTATTCGCTGTGGGAAGAACATGTCATTTGTATATTGTGCATTTCTTCCTTCTTTCTTCCTAGATGCAGAACAACGAGAGCCACATCCCCAAATTCCTGTTCCAGGCCTTACAGTACCTGGAAAGCTCACAGACAACAATAAGACATTCAGCAGCCCGATTCATTGGTAAGCAGAGCAAATTCACTTGATCTTTTCTCAATGCTTCCTTCAGAGCCCTTTTCTGGACGGCTGCTCTGTTCCCTCCAACAGCACCAGAATCCTAAAACGGGGGGTGTGTGTGTGTGTGCATGTGTGTGTGAATTAACATGTATTCCAAGATGAAGGGAGCAACTTAGCTGAATCGACTGCACCAACTTCCCCCGCCCACAACAATTCTTTGGCTGCGCCTAGGGGAAACCAGCAGGATGTGAATTCAATCTCCTTTGGAAATCAGCCTCTCAGTAACTTCTGGGCATCTGATGATTTCTCGAATATGCTTTGTGTACAGATGTAAGGAATGTCTGGAATTTCCCAAAGGTGTCTTGGGAGAATGGCTGCATCATTAGCAGTTTTCAGGAAAGGATCTGAAAAGCCATGAGAGCCATTGTATTCATTGTTTGTCTAGGAAATACTATCCACCATTACTGTGATTTGTTGTCTGAAACAGTGAATGAAGATGGCATCTCCCGCCTGTATGAAGGTAAGGAAATACCTCTGTGTGTTTGGGCCTCTGTGGGAAGCACAGGGGTGCAGCACAGGGCCTGAACACAGCTTTGAATGTGTCCCTCTCAGTCTAAGGACAGCGTTGAAGGAAGAAGGATGGTCACGCCAGCTTTCATCGTGGTCCCACAATCTGTGTATGGGAGCAGGGGAATTCCATCCCAAGCTCCTAGTGTAGACATAGCCTTAGAGCTGTGTGGGGAGACTGTCTTCATCAAGGTCAGAAAGTCTCTAAAGGAAGGCCTGACCCAACTGAAAAGGGCTGTTGGTATTAAGGATGATGATGATGACGATTCCCCTCTGTAGGGAAAGATTCATCACCTGCCCTCCCTGGAATGGAGTGATTGCAGGCCAGGGACCTTCACTCCGAGATTGGTTATCAGCTCCTAGGAAATCCCATGAGGGCACATGGGTAACACTTTTCCCTGTGAGCTCTTCAGGAATGAAGGCACAGGGCCACAAAGGATTTCAGGAGACGTTAGGAGCCGAAATCCCTTTGTGGATCTCGGCCTAAATGTTGTATGGTTTAATGTGGCTGCCGCTGTCACTTTCCTGTTCCATCCAAAGAACAAGTGCCCCCAACCGTCTGTGTGTGCGGGTGTGTGGAGGAGTGTCTGCCAGCAGAGGGGGAAGTTAGGCAAGAATGGGGTCTCCTCTCTGTCCAGGGCTATTTTGGGAGGAGCGGAGTTGTTGTTCTTGTGCCCTTAGACTCTTGGGGAGCTAATAGCAGGGGGCAATGGCCATCGGAAGTGGAGGTTTCCTAGGTACCAGTCACATCAGCATCACGGGGTTTTCAACCCATTTCCTCTTGGTTTCAGCTTTTCACGAAGTGCCTTTGAAATCAGACAGGACCACGTGGTACATCCTCAACAGATATTATAAATGGTTGCAGAAGCTTGGAAATCTCGTGTCGGGTTCTGCATTTGACTAGGGAACCGGGACCGACACAGACGAGCTCTTTGTCCTGCTATGGTAAATACAACAGACGCTTCTCAACTTTTTGGTGTCCCTGGCCTCTGTTTGCCAGAAGCTGGGAATGCGGGACAGGGGACTGATGACTAGATGATTGCCTGTCCCTTCATTCCCTCTGGGGCACCTGGCATTGGCCACTGTCAGAAGACAGGATACTGGGCTAGATGGACCTTTGCTGTGGCCTTTCTTATGTCCTTATGTTTGGAACCGGGGCTGAACAACGAGGTGGATATCAGCAGATGACCCAAAATTATGTCGATTAGTCGGGCCTAGAGAAGACTTGGAAGAAGTTGAAAGGGATCAAAGAAAGCCATGTCACTGGGCAGCACCATGGCAGATGAAAACCAGCGCTGACCAAGGCAGGGCCATACACATGGAAAGCAGTGAGGTGAACGACTCCTCCATAGCGCTGGTGTCAGAGGCCAAAGCACGGCTGGTTGACCCAGTGGTTGGAGCAGTGGCTCTGGGGCCTTGTGCTCAGAGTGGTGGAGGCCGAGCCGAGGGGAGCCAAGGGTTGGAGCCGGAGTCAGGAGTCAAGAGCAGGATTGGAACAGGCTGGGGAATAGGGCAAGGGCCGGATTAACGATCCCCGGCCAATGGGAGCTGCGGGGAGGCAGAGCCTACAGGGAAGATCAGCCCCCGGGACAGAGGTTCCCAGTGTGGTGCTCGTCGTGGTGACGTGGCTGGCGGGGATGAGGAATGGCAACGTGCGGAGCCTCCTCGCCCCCACCCCAGCCAGGCAGAGCCGGCCCGGCCGCAACGCAGCACGCAGGGGTTTAGTGGCTGCAGCCTGGGCCCCCCTTAGCCCTACTCCTTTCCTGAGTGCACCATTGCCCCACTTCTGCCCCATTCCCACACACTGGTACAGGGCAGAACCCCGGAGCTGATCTCTGAAATCTCTCTCACTAGAAGGAAGTCACTGCAAAGGCAGGACAACCCCACCTTTGGGCACCATGGAGGACATCTCATCCCACTGCACAGAGCCCTACATTCACACAGCTTCTCGCATGTGGTTCCCTCACTCATCAGAGCCAGGTGGAGAGAGGAGAAATTCTCCCAGACTCCCTTTTACCATTGCCAGCCCACAGGGTAGCAGAGGTTGCGGGGGGTTGGGTGCTCTCTTTAAGAAATGCCAGCTCTCAGGGAAGTTGCCAATGAGCATCAGCAAAGTAGGGTGGGGTTGTGCTGTGGAAAACTACCCTGCTTGAAGGTTTTGTTCTTCTCATTTGGGTTCCTGCCCTTTCTCTCTCTTCCAGACATCGAGAGGCCAACAGGAGCCAATTGAGCCCACCACTGATCCCATCTCTTGTGAGATGGCAAAGCAGCTTTGCATGGGAAGGAGGAGACAGAAGAGGCCGAGCAGCATGTGCCGGGCTGAACCAGCCACACAGAACCCCATAGTCTAGGTGGAGAAAGCCAAGCCCCTCCCCAGCCCTGCCGGACATGCTCCAACTGGAGCACCAGTGTGTAAGCGAGCAGCTCAGACCGCTGAAAATGGAGAATGCACACTGTAGGCTCCAGACCAGAAACAGCTCAAGCCCCTGACTGCAGAGCTCTGAGGCGCCGAGACCCAGCCACGTCCCTGGGGGCCTGCAGACATGCAAGGGAGTTCGGAGACTCTGGGAGTTTCCCACGCCGGGAACCCAGAGACCCCCAGCCCATGGCCTAGAGACATCTCCAAGGAAGTAACCTGGGTGAACTAGCCATTGTCATCCGCAGTGCTGGATCCCCACTGACTCAATGGCAAACACATTGGCCACGGACGAGGCCCTGGGCGAGGAGCCGGTGGAGTAACGAGGGCCTGGGTCCACCTGCCCTGGCTGCCATCCATCCTTTGGTGGCTGCCCACGTCCCCATTGACCCACTAGACTGCACAGCCCCAAGAGGAGGGGCAACCATCTTGCCTCTGAACTCTCAGCCAAACAGCCCTGCAGTGAAGGGCAGCTACACTGACTCCGGCCGTTGGGCCACACAGCATTGAGGGAGAGAGTAACCATATTGTCCGTTGCTATCGGGCCACACGGGCATAAGAGACAGGATAGACATATGGACTCTAAGCGTTGAGCCACACAGCCCCGACGGAGAGGGCAGCTGCACGGACCCTGGTCGCTGGGCCACACAGCCCCGACGGAGCGGGCGGCCGCACGGACTCTGGTCGCGGAGCGACGCCCGGACCTGTCGCGGCCCCACCCGACGGAGAGGGCGGCCGCACGGACTCTGGTCGCTGGGCCACACAGCCCCGACGGAGAGGGCGGCCGCACGGACTCTGGTCGCTGGGCCACACAGCCCCGACGGAGAGGGCGGCCGCACGGACTCTGGTCGCTGGGCCACACAGCCCCGACGGAGCGGGCGGCCGCACGGACTCTGGTCGCTGCCCGGGCCAGGAGGGGCGGCCGCACACTGGTGCCCCCGCTGGTCGCTGGCCCCAGCCCGACGGAGCGGGCGGCCGCACGGACTCTGGTCGCTGGGCCCCGGAGGAGCGGGCGGCCGCACGGACTCTGGTCGCTGGGCCACACAGCCCCGACGGAGCGGGCGGCCGCACGGACTCTGGTCGCTGGGCCACACAGCCCCGACGGAGCGGGCGGCCGCACGGACTCTGGTCGCTGGGCCACACAGCGTCCCCCCGGCCGCACGGACTCTGGTCGCTGGGCCACACAGCCCCGACGGAGCGGGCGGCCGCACGGACTCTGGTCGCTGGGCCACACAGCCCCGACGGAGCGGGCGGCCGCACGGACTCTGGTCGCTGGGCCACACAGCCCCGACGGAGCGGGCGGCCGCACGGACTCTGGTCGCTGGGCCACACAGCCCCGACGGAGAGGGCGGCCGCACGGACCTGCGCTGGGGGCGGCCGCACGGACTCTGGTCGCTGGGCCACACAGCCCCGACGGAGAGGGCGGCCGCACGGGCTCTGGGTGTTGGGACACACACACTGCGTGGGAGGGCAGCCATTTTGACAATGGGCATTTGGCCAAACTACCCTGAGGCTTAGGGAAGTTATTTGATGTCAGCCATGGGACCTTGCCCCTTCACTCCTCAGACATCGCTCATCTGTCACCATGAGACCGACCCCATGACAGAAGACTTTTGGGGTCAAGATGCAAACGGGAGTCGAAACAAGGAGTTGCATGTGACCCCTCTAAGAGATCCTCCCACTCCTTTACCAATCTGGGGGTGTTTTATCTCCATGCACCTGCCTCAGGAATGGATTTGAGCAATTGGGGAATGTTCTGGGGCAGAGTGACCCATCCGGAAGTGGGTCACGTGACCCTCCAAGAGCTCCTCCCACTTGGGGTGGGCCTCAGCCCCTTAGGACCCACCAGAGAGGGGATTTCACCAAACAGGGTAAGTGCCATGGTGGGGTGACCTGCCCGCAAGAGGGGTCCATCACCCCTCCATGAAATCCCCGCACCGTCCTCTGCTAATCAGTCAGGGTTTCGCACACACGCTTTAGGCCATCCCAGAAGGGAAACGTAACAATCAGACTAGGCAGTGCCCGAAGGTCTAGGCCACAAGGCGCCGATCTCTGGAGCTCCATGTTTGCGAGGCTGGCAGCATCGTCCGGGAAGTCGCAACACAACACTGCGGGGAAGAGCCCGTCTCGTTCCAAGGATGTCTTTTGAAGAAACCGTGGCCTAGACCTTCGGGCTATACCTGTTCTGGATTGGTACACATTTCCCTTCTGAGATGGCCTAAGGTGGGAGTGAAACCCTCGCCAACTGCTAGAGGGTGGTGTGGGGACATTTTAGAGGGACCACAGGATCCTGTTGCGGGCAGGTCACTCCACTGCAGCACTTCCCTTATTTGGTCAAATCCCCTCTCGGGGTGGTCCTACGGGGCTGACGCCCACTTCAATTGGTAGAGGACACAGGGAGGAGTTCTCAGAGGGGATATACAACCCCCTTCTGCGTGGGTCACCCTGCCCCGCAACGTTCCCTGATTGGTCAAATCCAGTCTCCGGGTGTGTAAAATGCTGGTTGCCCCTGCCAAATTTTCCTAAAAGAAGGGAAGAAAGGCATGTACCTTTTGGGTTATCTGTCAGGTGGCCATCTTGGACTTGGGAAAAGAAGCTGGTGACCTTTAGCCATTTCCTCTATTAGTTTGGGTTGGGGAGCACACTCCCACGCACGGATTGAATCCGCGTAGATAGGGTCTAACATCCAGGCAGAGACGACGCAAAGAGGGATAGGGAGGGTTTTTAGTTAGGTCTACTCACCCGTTCCTGTGTCCATCATGGAGTCCCTCCCTGACGTCCAATGTCAAGAGAGCAGCAGCCGTCCATCGCTGTCCCTGCAAGAGAAGGGAGAGAGAACATCAACCTGACCTCCTGGGTGTAATTGTTTGGGAGACTGGAGCACTTCCAGAGTTCAAGTTTTGTTAATCCACCCCTTCTCTAGCCTAGCCTAGTCCTTTTCCCTCTCGTAAATAAAGTCTTGTTTGTGTGCTTACCACTGCCTGGCGTTATTTTCTTGTGCTAAGGCAAGCTCTGACAGACTGGCTTTACAAAGGGGACCATGTGGGAAGAATTTACTGTAAGATTCCCTGCATCTTCTGAATGGGGTTTGGGTTCTGCCCTTTTGAAAGGAAGGAAAAATCTTTCCAGGTGATCCTAGGGGGCTGAAACCCACTGGGATTACTTAGTAATCTGTCCTCTTCACTACCATGTTTGTGACCCTCTGTGTCATAGGGAAGTAGCCCATGGCTCATTATGCATCTTTGGATTTAAAATGGACACGTGTGGTGTACAGACGAAGAAGGACAACTTTTCAAGTCCAGTGTGCACAGAAATGGGATGGACACTTCAAGGATTGAATACAATGCTTTGATCTTCCATCTGTTCATTAAAGAAAGACAAAGGTGCAGATTTGGGAGGCTCGGCACTGACTTCCCCAGGATCATTCCTCTCCGCGTAATTCCCATGATAAATCTCCTCTCAAGGAAGAGCCTGAGGAAGTGTGATCAGGGGAACTACCCAGAGCACCAGATAAATCAGGGCCCTGAGCTGAGAAAAACCAAGCCTTGGAAAGAGGCCCAAGCAGCTCAGCCGTCTTGTCCTCTGCCGTCTTGTGTGTGTGTGCGACGTGCTGTGTGTTCCACGTGCAACGTGTCAGTGTCGTGTGTGTGTGTCTCAATGTCATGTGTGCCATTTTGTGTCATGTGCCATTTTGTATCATGTGTCATGTGGTGTGCGTCATGTGTGTGTGACATGTAGTGTGTGCGTGCGTGTGACGTGTTGTGCGAGTGCATGTGCGTTGTGTGACATCTGCGTGACATGATACGTGAGACATGCAACAAACTGTGTGCGACTTTGTGTGTGTGTGACGTACGTGCAACGTGCTGTGTGTCATTCAGTGTGTGTGAGACGTGTTGTGGGTCGTGTTGTGTGTCGTGTTGAGTGTGAGACGTGTTGTGTGTCATGTTGAGTGTGTGAGTGTGACATGTTGCGGGTCGTGTTGTGTTGAGTGTGTATGACATGTTGTGCGTCGTGTGTGTGATGTTTTGTGTGTGACGCTTTCCATGTCTTGTGTGTGTGTCTGTGTGGTGTGTTATTTTTGTGTGTCGTGTTGTGTGCCGTTTTGTGTCATCGTGTGTGTGTGACGTGTGTGCGTCCACGCGTTCGACGTATTGTGCGTGTCCGTGTGGGAAGTGCGAAGTGGGATGGGTCAACTTGCCGCCCCCTTCCCCAACACTTTAGCCCCCTGTCGTAAACATGACCCTACCCCCTCCCCAGGGTGCTACTGACACTAAAACGACCTAAAAGACCCCCGACTTATCACTATTGGCTGCACCCCATTGCCACCCGCACTTCTATGCTGCTGCTGGCCAAACCCTCCCCCCAAAATCTAAACCCCACCCCCTACCCGGAACCCAACTGGAACCCTGACCCCATAACCTGCCCCCCAACTCGAAACCCCTGAACCAAAACTGTAGCCCAACCCTCACCCCAACCCGAACCTCCAGCTCTGAACCCAGCCCCCCGAAGCCTGACACCGCTTTAAGCCAGAGCCCAGTTCCCCATTCCCACCCTGGGCAACAACAGTGCAAACCACACCCTCCTGCCCCCCGCCCAGGAATCCTGCTTCTTACCACCCCTTCTTTGGAAATGAACCTTTTCTTCACTTGCATCCCACACACCTTCATTCTCCTTTGAGGGCTTATTTAGTGACAGGGGTCTACACAAGGCAACTCTTTGCTATCACAGCGTAACAGGACACAGAGAAGTGAAAACAGTGCAAACAACATTCCACGAGTTTTCAGGAGGTTTAAACACCCAATACATTTGAACATTTAACAGTCGCTTTGATCTCTACTAACACACACATCCATTGGCCTGAATACACTCTGACACAAGCTGCTATTTCAGCGTCACGCCTTGTACAAACATTACTGCAACAGCGTGTAGGGCAGCGTGACCCCCGGGGGTCTGTGAGCTGGTTTCAGGGCGTCCGCAGGACCCCGCAGCTTCGCCTCCCCGCCTGTTCCACCCACCGCCTGTGCTTCCCCGGAGGGATCTCCAGACTGTCAATGCTGCCCGGAGCTTCCCTTCCCTGCCAGGCCTGAGCAACCAGCGCTTGTAACCAGGCCACTCACAGCCTCCCCGCGGGGAGCGTATGGACACAAACCGGCTGGAGAGCAGTTAGGGCAGGAATCCCTGGAGACTCGGGGAGCACCTTCAGCGGATGAGGGTGACACACCCCACAGGAGCTGAATTTCCCACTCGGGTCTAAGTCGTGCCATGTGGATGGGGCAGCACGGTTGGGAGGCTCTGTTTGCTGCGGTGGATCCACTGGGGGTTGATGTCGTGGGGGTCGAGTGAAGACCCACTAAATTGACAGCAGAGCGCTCTCCGGTCGCCGTTGGGACTGCGCCGGGAACGGCAGGAGGAAGGTAAGTCGACCGAAGAGCATCTCCCGTCGACCCAGCCCAGTGTAGACACAGCAGGAAGTCGACCGAAGCGACGTCAAATCCAGCTCTGTTATTCATGCAGCGGGAGCAGCGTAACTTAGGACGACTTCCTGCGGTAGGATAGAGTCATAAATAGAAAGGGAAGGCTAACCACCTTTAAATCCCTCCTGGCCAGAGGAAAAAATCCTCTCACCTGTAAAGGGTTAAGAAGCTCGGATAACCTCGCTGGCA